TTAAAGAACTCTTTTGGAGTTGGTTAATATCTGTACTGTTGGTAGTTGATGGTGTTTAAGCAAAGTAACTTTACTCTATTTATTTGAGTGTTAGTTATTTAAACATATTTTTTTACTTTATAATCTATATTGATGATGTAATCTGTTGTACGATATGCAATCTAGAGGTTTCTCCGGTGGGACTAACTAATCCTTGGTTTTGTAGGACAACAAAGATGCTCGTCATGTCAAAACATATGAAGTCTCTCTAAAAGATAAGGATTTTGTCGAGGGTCCATGGTCACAGAACAATCTCGACAATGGTGCTGACTTGCTGATTCCTGTACCACCACCGCTCTGTGGTGTCCTTATTATTGGTGAAGAAACAATTGTCTATTGCAGTGCTAATGCATTCAAAGCAATACCAATAAGACCTGTAAGTTCTTTCAACGTAATCTCACCTGCTTTTGTAAACAAGTTACTTAAGACGTAATCTCACCTACGGGTACTCCTTTTTTTTCTTTTCTTAGTTTGATATGTGACTTTCATTTTTCGTGTCCAGTCCATCACTAAAGCATATGGAAGAGTTGATGTTGATGGCTCTAGGTATCTTCTTGGTGACCATGCTGGACTGATTCATCTTCTTGTTATAACGCACGAGAAAGAAAAGTGAGTGTACATGTGTGCTTACTCTTACATCCATCCATATTCGAAATAATTAAAAGCTCTATTGAACTTATGTACTTTGTGCATATGCTACTTGTATTTGTGTCTGAAGGGTCACTGGCCTAAAAATTGAGCTTTTGGGTGAAACATCTATTGCATCGACTATATCGTACCTTGACAATGCCGTTGTCTTTGTCGGCTCAAGCTATGGCGATTCACAGGTATGCTAGAAAATGATAATTGTCTCACTATACAATTTTTCTCAATTTGGTTTCTGTAGAATGTATATTGATATTGTTCCATGTTTTTCAGTTGTGCCCAGTAGTTGTTAGTAATAATTCTCTGTGGAGTTTGGATAAGACTTTGTTTATTTTTCATCGTTCATAGTAAAGATAGAAATTCAAAAAATAATTGTATTTCCTTGTCTCTGGCTTCTAAGAAAAGTTAATTCAACCATCTAAGTGTTTCCATATTTGATTTTCTAACTGCAGCTAGTAAAGCTGAATCTACACCCTGATGCAAAAGGCTCATATGTAGAAGTCTTGGAAAGGTATATCAACTTGGGGCCTATTGTCGACTTTTGTGTAGTTGACCTCGAGAGACAGGGGCAAGGTCAGGTTGTAACTTGTTCTGGAGCATTTAAGGATGGTTCCCTCCGCGTAGTTCGCAATGGAATAGGAATCAATGAACAGGTTTGATTTATGCACGAAATCTCGTTGTCTTGTATGCACAATTTTCTCATCTGGTTTCTATATATTAATACTCCGCTCTATTACAGGCGTCTGTGGAACTTCAAGGTATCAAAGGAATGTGGTCGTTGAAATCTTCAATTGATGAAGCCTTCGATACATTCCTCGTTGTTAGCTTTATCAGTGAAACTCGTATATTAGCCATGAATCTTGAGGATGAACTGGAAGAAACAGAGATTGAGGGCTTCTTGTCTCAAGTGCAGACGTTATTTTGCCATGATGCTGTGTACAATCAACTTGTACAGGTAAGAATTTCTAATGCTTTGGGGTCTTCAAAAGACAATCAAATTTGATAATTGTTATAGCTTAGTTGTCTGGTCTCTCCTCTCTATTTGTGAACATGAATTAACTGCTGCCTTTTGCTGGATCAGGTTACCTCAAATTCTGTTAGACTAGTCAGTTCTACAACTAGAGAATTGCGGGACGAGTGGCATGCCCCGGCTGGATTCACTGTTAATGTTGCAACTGCAAATGCCAGCCAGGTTTGTATTTAATTCTCGATTTGCTTTAGTAATTTTGTACATAGCTGCTGTGTTTAATATACTTGTCATGGAAGAGGAATCTAACTTTTGAGTGTACATACAACATGCTTTAGAATAAACATTTGTACAGTGACTCTTTAATTTACTTGTCAGGTTCTTTTGGCGACTGGAGGTGGGCATTTGGTGTATCTAGAAATTGGAGATGGGAAATTGACGGAAGTGCAACATGCCCTTTTGGAGTACGAGGTTTCTTGTCTTGATATAAACCCTATTGGTGACAATCCTAATTACAGTCAGCTAGCTTCGGTTGGGATGTGGACAGATATAAGCGTGAGGATCTTTTCGCTGCCAGAATTGACTCTTATTACAAAAGAGCAACTCGGAGGGGAAATAATTCCCCGATCTGTTCTTCTTTGTGCATTCGAAGGGGTATGATTCCATTGGACCTTACTTCAGAGAAGCCGAGAACCCATTTAAATTTTATGGTTGAATTTAACATATGTTATGTTGCAGATATCTTACTTGCTCTGTGCTCTTGGAGATGGCCATCTTTTGAACTTCCAGTTGGATACAACTACTGGGCAGTTGAAAGACAGGAAAAAAGTATCACTAGGGACTCAGCCTATAACTCTGCGTACTTTTTCATCAAAAAGCGCCACACATGTCTTTGCTGCATCAGATAGACCAACCGTGATCTATAGCAGCAACAAGAAGCTGTTATACAGCAATGTCAATCTTAAAGAAGTTAGTCATATGTGCCCTTTCAACTCTGCTGCTTTTCCCGACAGGTATACTAAACATCCTCTCTCTTTTTCTTTTTGGTGGGTTTCTCATTCCTATACGAAGTTTAGTGGCTGTGAAATCTGATTCTCTGTTCTATCTTATGAGCAGTTTAGCAATTGCCAGGGAAGGTGAACTTACGATTGGTACCATTGATGATATTCAGAAGCTTCACATACGCACTATTCCTCTTGGAGAGCATGCTCGTCGAATTTGCCATCAGGAGCAGACACGTACATTTGGTATCTGCAGTTTGGGAAACCAGTCAAATGCCGAAGAATCTGAAATGCACTTTGTCCGTCTTTTAGACGACCAGACCTTCGAGTTTATGTCAACTTACCCCTTGGATTCCTTTGAATACGGTTGCTCCATTCTAAGCTGCTCATTCACCGACGATAAAAATGTCTATTACTGCGTTGGAACAGCATATGTTTTACCGGAGGAAAATGAACCAACTAAGGTATTTTCTCTGAGAACATATCAACACCTCAAATCAAATATTCTTTTCTAATTTGTCATTTTTTTGTGATTTAGGGAAGGATATTAGTATTTATAGTTGAAGATGGGAGGTTGCAGTTAATCGCGGAGAAAGAAACCAAAGGAGCTGTTTATTCTCTCAATGCCTTTAATGGAAAACTTCTTGCTGCTATTAATCAGAAGATTCAGTTGTACAAGTGGATGCTGCGGGATGATGGCACTCGTGAACTGCAGTCTGAATGCGGACATCACGGACACATTCTAGCTCTCTATGTACAGACCCGTGGAGACTTTATCGTTGTTGGTGATCTCATGAAATCAATCTCCTTATTGTTATACAAGGTATTACTTCTAAATGAAATTTGTGTGGTTAAAAACTGATCTTCTTTGTTCATTTGATACTGTTCTGATGGTTGATTCTTGAATGTTTAAAGCACGAGGAAGGTGCGATAGAGGAGAGGGCTCGGGATTACAATGCAAATTGGATGTCAGCGGTTGAGATACTCGATGATGATATTTACCTTGGTGCTGAGAACAATTTCAATCTGGTAACAGTGAAAAAGAACAGTGAAGGTGCTACTGATGAAGAACGAGGACGGTTGGAGGTAGTTGGAGAGTATCACCTTGGGGAATTTGTGAACAGATTCCGCCATGGATCTCTAGTAATGAGGCTACCTGATTCAGAGATTGGTCAGATCCCAACAGTCATCTTTGGTACAGTCAATGGAGTGATTGGAGTGATAGCTTCACTTCCTCAAGAACAATATACTTTCTTGGAGAAGCTGCAGTCCAGTCTGAGGAAAGTGATTAAAGGAGTTGGCGGATTAAGCCACGAGCAATGGAGGTCGTTTAATAACGAGAAAAGAACCGCAGAAGCGAGGAATTTCTTGGATGGTGACTTAATCGAATCGTTTCTGGATCTGAGTAGAAACAAGATGGAGGATATATCGAAATCCATGAATGTTCAAGTGGAGGAGTTGTGTAAGAGAGTTGAAGAACTCACTAGGCTTCACTGAACCAAATCAATCGATGCCAATAGGCTTTGTTTTATTTATTTATTTTATGCTTTTCTTGAGTTAAAAGTCTTTATTTGGGTTTTGTTATCATCAGCTTTTGAAGTTTGATTGAGTTGTTGTTTCTGTAATAACTTGTGTTGGTTAAAGTATTGTCTTCTAAATCGAACCGGGAAGCAAACCGGACTGGACTGTCTTTTGGGTCGGATAATGAATCACTTGATCGATATATATATAAAAATATATTTTAGTATTTCTCGATATTTATTTTAATTTTTATGAAAATATTAATGTTTTTAATGTTGTACAAGGGGGTGTTATTGGTTTGTGATTTAAATAGAGTTTTTAAATGTTATGTAGAATCTGTTGTTATTCAATCAAGATTTTTTAAATGTTTGTTAAAGTTTGGTGTTATTTGTTTAAGATTTGTAAAAAGTAATCTAAAATTTTCATAAATCTTGAGTTATTGGATTCATAATTTTATAAAGTCATTAAAAGTTTTGTGTTATTCAATTACAACAAAAGAATCTATGATTGTTAATAAATTAAATTATTATGTTATCGGTTTATGACTTTCTACACTTTTCTTCACAAAACAAAGTCATAAAAAGTATCATCAAAATAGAGAAATTGTTTTGGAAACTTTACAAGATTATGACATATTAATCAAAAAGATTGTAGAAAACTCTCAAATACACTCTAACAATAGTTTAGAATCTTTCATTTGTTACTTTTTATGATTTTATTAAAATCATCAAAATTCTATGTAAATTAGGAACCAATAACACCCCCTAATAGTTTGCTGCTATAATTCTTTGCTTCTCTTTCTCAACTTTTTCCGTTTGTGTTATACAAAAAACAAATCGGTTAATAGATTGGAAAGTAATATTCCTACATTAAATTTTCTAAAAACAGATCTCATGCGATTATGTTCTTTTGTTTAAAATAAAAAAGATAAGACTGAACATATTTTACTTCTCTTGAAGGCACCTTTGATTCCTTAAGAAATCTAGATTCTTCTTTTCTCATTTAATTAGGTTCTCTTGCAATTAAGTAAACACAATACCTCTCGATTAATTGGTCGAAATATTTAGAGACTTATATGTACCAAGAAAAGGTTTCTTCTTATGGTGGTGTGATGATCTAGATTCTTTCTTCCCTTCATATATGTATTTGCTATTTCAAACATCTAAACATGAGAATTCAATTTTGGATCTTTCTACTCCTTTTGCTTCTACTAAACTTCTTCTGTCAAGGTAAATCATCTTATTTGTCTTCTCTATTTATTGAAGAACATAAATAATGATTCTCTCAGTTTCTTTAAATTTTAGATTATACATTTTTTTTTATAATGGTATACTGTATGTTTTTCAGTTTTCTTTACAAAATTATTGTTTGTTTTCCTAATGATTTAATGTCAATTGTTAGGAGATCGAGATCTCCTAACATCAATCAAATATATACTTTTAGAAAAGTGAATATTTGGTATTGCAACTTATTTAACATGAAGAACAAATTAAAGGAGTATTTTGTTCATTTGTCTCATCGATAACGTATGTACAATGTGTAGCTGCAAGGCCAGTGATGACGATCAGACCAGAGTCACTGGTGGGGCCACAAGGGAACACGACGTTCTTGGAGGGAACAACATGGTGCGTGGCTCGACCAGGTGCGACTCAAGCTGAGCTACAGAGAGCCCTTGATTGGGCATGTGGGATTGGGAGAGTGGATTGCTCGGTCATTGAGAGACATGGTGATTGCTACGAACCAGACACGATCTTGTCGCACGCATCTTTTGCGTTTAATGCGTATTACCAAACCAATGGGAACAATCGCATTGCTTGTTACTTCGGTGGAACAGCTACACTCACCAAGATTAACCCTAGTAAGTAAAAAGTTAAATTGATCTATGCAAATATTTATATTCGGGTATTATTTCGTAAAAGATAATGGATTTCTTACTCGAACTACTGGATAATATTTTGAAACTTTTTTCCTACTAATATACATAATTAATTTTTGTAAAAAAAAAAAAATCATGGTAATAATATGTGTGAATTTTTGTTATGTTGTTGCTTGCAGGCTACGGAAAATGCTCCTATGATGTATCCAAGTAAGAGCCCTATAATTTTATCCTTTATTTTTTATTATTCCATATAGTAGCCGAAAACATTTTCGTTCAAAAAGTATAATATATAGTGTTTCCTTCATTCAGGTCGGAAGTCTCCGCCGCAAGATCTCTATCGAAATGTAAACCTCGGTGCTTCCTGCTGATGTACATAGGACTTTTGTTTCTTATTAGTCGGCGAGGCTAACACCTTTGCCAGAAAAGTAGATATTTGCATATCGTTGTGCCGGAATCTTTTTTCCTTGAGCAAATTTTTAAAAACCTTTTGGCTATTGTAGCGTTAAGCTTTGTTTTTGTTCTTACCTTTGTTCATAGGTTTAGAATCTTAAAGCCTTAGAGCCTTCCTTACGTCCGACAACAACTATCTCTTTTATTTTCATGTTAAATATATAATAACTTAGTAGTACTATTTAAATTTCGGTAGAGAAATGTAATCAAAATATTCTTATATATTCTTATCATTGACCTACCATATTATAATTTTTATTATAGGATTTTAGAATGATACAAGTGATCATACAATTTGATCTAGACAATATTAATGCTTTAATGACAGTATTGACTTGCATAATTAATGTTCGTTAAAAGAAAATAGTAAATTATTGTCACCAATGCAAAACATTTCCATGTGATGCAATATCATGATATGTAGACGAAATAAAATGGTACAACATTAATCTTGTTTAGATTATCTTGTATCACTTGTAGTCTTGTACTATATCAAATTGTATCACTTGTAACATTTTAAAATTTCATAATCAAATTTTATAATATGGTAGGTTCTAAGGAAAAAATAATTTGTTTTTATGTAATTAGAAATTAAATTTTGAACCTTAACACACTCTTCCTAATCATAGAATTAACCGTTAATAATACTTGTAATTTAACTCATCCTTTCTAATATGACATGATTGTTTATAGAATTTTCACTCTTTTTTTATTTTAAGTTCTAACTACTGTATAGCGAAATTTTATTTTTCCAAAACAAAATTTCAAGTGCTATTCACTCACTTGTAAAAATCTCAAAAACAAAAAGTAAGATGGGCTTTTCAGGCCCAAAACACGCGGGCCTTAAAAAGATTTCTTTAGCAATAAAACCCTAATCACACTCACCTCCAGAGATCATCGTCTCGAAAGTCCAAACAAACGAAAAAAACCCTAAAACCTCCATCGACGCCGGGGGAAGAAATTTGTGTAATCTACAATCAATGTTAATCGCGATGAAGGAAGAAGAAGTTAATCGATGCCAGATTCAGAACTGGTATCCGAAATTCAAATCTTTAACCATCAAAACCAAATTTCACAAACTTCCAGAATCATTCATCAACTATCTCATCGACGATTCTGGTCCGTTTCTTCTTCCCGATTCCGTAACAAACGAAGACGCAATGCCTAACAGAGTCCACAATTTCGAAGAAGAAGATGATTTCCAAGTCCCCGAAGAAAGTTCAGATAACGAAACAGAGCCACCATTGAATCGCCCTTCTTTTCCAGAACTCGAAATCGAGGTCAGAGAATCAATCGAAACCCTAGGCGGCATAATTATACCGAAGCTGAATTGGAGTGCACCTAAAGATGCAGCTTGGATTAGTCCATCACAGAATCTAAGCTGCACTTGTTTCAATGAGATTGCTCTCTTGTTTCGTTCTTCAGATTCGTTAATCCATGATCTCTGCAATGCTTATGATTCATGTATTGATAAAGTCTCTTCAAGGCCAGAAAGTTTCTACCTTGCTTTGAGAAAATGGTACCCTTCTTTGAAGCCTGAGATGGAATTTAGATGCTTTGTGAAATCTAACGACCTTGTTGGGATTTGTCAGCGTGAGGTAACAACATTTTACCCTGTTCTTCTCAATGAGAAGGATTTGATCAAAGGGTTGATAGAAGAGTTCTTTGATGATCAGATTAGGTTTGAATTTGAATCACAGAATTACACTTTTGATGTTTATGTGACGAAAGAGAGAAAGGTTAAGCTAATAGATTTCAATACTTGGTGTGGTTCTACTTTGCCATTGATGTATACATGGGAAGAACTTGAAAAGATTCATGGAGAATGTGATGAATTGGAATTGAGGATTGTTGAGAGTCGTCTCAGTGTGCTTCCTGGTTTGAAAACAGCTGTTCCTTATGATTATCTTGACGTGAGTCCTGGTAGTGGTTGGGATCAGGTTCTTAAGATAGCGGAAGAGGAGTTTCAGAAAGAGAATCAGAGTTCGGATGAATTTGCTTGAGCTTTTGGTCGAAGCAGAAGTACTTGAGAGTTCTCAATGAAGCAAGAAGACTTAGATTCTTGGTTATTCGAGGACTTGACAATAATTCTTTGAGTTGTCGTAGGTGTGCCTACATCAATAAGTGTTGTGTTCCATTGTTGTTCTGAAACGGTTTAGATAACGATGTTGGAACTTTGATAGTGTCTTTTTCTTATAAGATTTTCTCGTTTAGACTGTTTCTATATTTGTATTTGTCTTTGTCTTTTCTTCTGCAAAGAATTGTGTTGAAAGGCAAATTGTTCTGATTGGTTTCTCATTATCAAATTTGTGGCGATCGTACGCTCCATGGATGTTGCATTAGTTGTTTGGGTCCGGTTCGGTTTAAGACAATGTCGAAATTCGAAATAGAACAAACCAAAAATTTTATTAGAAAACAGGGAAGATAAAAAAAAAAGGTTTAAGATCTTCAAAACATGAAGAACATCTGAGATTCTGGGCTTAAGACAAAGCCGTCTCTTTTAACCTTATTCTTCATCTTCGAGCATACGATTGCTTTCGTCTTCGTTTGGGATCTTCGAAAAGTGAATAACTTTTTTTTCCCTCGAGTATTCTCTACGATAAATTGCGTTTGATTCTTTCAATTTTTTTTTCATTTGCGGCCCAAGTTTGGATCTTTTTTACATCGTTAATCTCAATTCTTAAGATAGTTAGATTGGTGAGTTAGGTACTCTTTTTAGCTTGGTTAAATTCTGGGTTTGCCTTGTTTTCAGGCCACACTCAAATTAGGTTAAATTTCAATTCTTGCGAGGTTTCAGCTTTTCTCAAAGTTGGAGCTTTGGCGGCAGTGAACGATGCTCGGTCATAGGATCTCAAGATTGGGGTCTACCATTGTTAAACAGCTCGCAAGAGGTAATTATCTGCTTTAAATCGATGCTCTTTGATGCGTTTGCTATATTGGTTTTGATGAAGTTTCTAATCTCACTTCGATTTCAAACTGCGTATGCGTATTAGAGTCCTTCACGGGTTTTAATAAAACATTGCAGAAAAGCTCACACATTGTCTGCTTGATATAAAAACAGTCTAAAATAGTGCCTTAAGATTTTTGCTGCTCTTTATATTTCTTGTTTTGGCAGAGGGATATATATCAACATATAGGACAAGGAATCTACAGCGGTCGTATGGCCACTACTTGCCGTCTTTGGTTAGTTCTGAGCTTGTTCTCGAGTTTTATACTCTGTTACCGTCGATGATTGTGTTATTTCTTGATGTATAGTCACTGATTAAAACTTAGAATAGGGTTCTTGGCTAGGTAGATGCTCGTTAGTAATGAGTCTTCAAGTGTCATAAAATGATCGCAGAAGAACGAAATGCAGCTTTTCTGCACTTGTTTGGTGTTAGATGGATCTGTTAGTAACGATTCTAATGTGTCCAGTTGTATACTTGTATTGATTCAATGCTGAATAAGAGTTGATTCAGGAATCAATGGAAAGAGTCCTACGTTTGGTTTTGGCTCAAAGGCCTAAGAAAAGGCTTAAGATTTCATAGCTGAGAAATTGAGTGGTTTATAGTTAATTGATAAATGAACAGAAAAACGTGGTTTTGTCACTCATAGGTTCTGTTTTGTTTCCTCATTTTTGAATCTTTCTCGTTTCATCTTTTCGATAGCCAGTGGTACCAAGGCAAGCTAGGATCTCTCAGGAAGCCTGGTTTTTGAAGAGCCATAAGTTTTGTACTTCTTCAACAACTTCCTCTGAGAATGGTGATGAAGAAACTGAGAAGTAAGTTACTATGTCAGCAAATTCTCAATTCTTGCAAATGAAGAATGTGCACACACAGAAATATTCATCCAGCATTGAAGCAATATTTCCTGATAGTTTATCATAATTTTGTTGTTTTCAGGATAACCATTATCTTTGTTGATAAGGACGGAGAGGAAATTCCTGTTAAAGTACCAATTGGAATGTCTGTGCTCGAAGCTGCTCATGAAAATGATATAGACCTCGAAGGTGCAGACTTCTCTTCCATTTTCTTCTCGTTTTCCAATGCTTCTTCTCATAGCTTAGATGGGATCTAACGTTTAGATTGATCCTTTGTCGAATTGAGAACTCATGGATTGCTTTTACTTGATCTCCAGGGGCATGTGAGGCTTCTCTAGCGTGTTCAACGTGTCATGTGATTGTGATGGTAAACATATCCTTCCATTATTAATAGATCCTCTGCTTTTCCTGAAACTAACTAAAATTGTATTTACAGGATACGGAATACTATAACAAACTTGAAGAACCAACTGATGAAGAGAATGATATGCTTGATCTTGCTTTTGGGCTCACAGAAACGTAAAGTTCTCTCTTACTCTTAAACCAACACAAAACAAGAAGAAAGTATCATATGTTCCCGGACAAATGTTTCAGGTCACGACTCGGATGCCAAGTCATTGCAAGACCAGAGCTAGATGGTGTGCGCTTGGCTATTCCTTCAGCCACGAGGAATTTCGCGGTTGACGGATTTGTTCCAAAACCTCATTAGTTTTCGCAGAGATTCTTCGACCTGAGGCATTAAGGATCAAAGAGCTGATTCATGTTTCTATTGGAGTTTTGATGATTGCTTACCGAGAGGAAACAGTTCTTGGACCTGAGGCATTAAAGGATCAAATAGATGATTTATGTTTCTATTGGAGGATTTGATGAGAGGAAACAGTTTTATTACATATTAGTTTTGATCTTGGCATTTCTCGTTGTTGTCTGAGTTTCTAACAGAACAAGCTTTAAGCAATTATTTGGAATAAGTAGTACCAAGGCTTTGCTTTTCTTTAACATTGCAGAATAAACTCAATTATTTTAGTCAAAGGAAGATGAAACAATCACCATCTTTGAAGCTTTTCTGAGTTTAGAAATTGTAGAGAGGAAACAGCTAACTAAAGACATCATTACAAACGGGTTACATACCACAAGGACACATTAAAGTCCATTGAAACTATGAGCTTACTTAAAAGAAGTCATGAACAAGTTCGAAAAATTTCACCTGCACAAAACCGATGCCTCTAGATAAGCATGTCATCATAGTAATCAAACTGGTCATAGTCAGAATAGTCACTAGCACCTGTGAGGTCATAGTAATCATCAAACTCAGTATCATCTGACATGAGATCGATATCAGAGAAGCCATAAGGGTATTCGTCTTCTGATGAACCAATGTCGATATCATGAGTCGAGTCATTAGGGTGTCTCACAACTTTGACCCTCTCAGAACACCGCTTCTGCAGATCCCCAATAAGATTAACATTGAAACACCGGCGTAAATCAAGATGTTCCAGGTTTAGACAACTGTCAAGAATGGCGTTTAAGCCGGTGTCTGATAATCCGTTCCCAAAAAGCTGGAGATGGCGAAGTTTAGGCATTGTTTCAGCAATCGCTAGAGCATCATCGTCATTCTCTTTTTGAGGATAGCTCTTTAACTTCAATATCTTCATATTTGGACAAGACTGGCCTAGAACTTTCAGAGACACTCCTGACAATGAGCAGTATGACAACTCGAGGTCTTCAAGCAGTGGAAGTTTCAAAACTGCTTCGACAAGTCCATCGTCCGTAATTTGAGAGCACCTTGTCAGTCTAAGGCTTCTCAGATTACTCGACCTGCAAATAATTATGCGTAAAACAAATTAAAAACAACATCTAAGATAGAGAAGACGAATGATAATCTTTTTTTTCTATCATCCCAAAAAACCTGAACCTAACCATTTAGACCTCAGAAGCATAACAATCTTATGACTATTTACTAGTCCAAGAGAGAATTTTGAGACAGTGTAACACAACACAATCATAAGCCCCAAATTCTCACAAGAGATAGTAACTTGACAACCAAAATATGTTCTAACCCTAGAACTAACATAACCCCATACAACTATTGAAATCAAATCAATCCCAGTTCTCTAAACAAGGAATCAAAAATCCATTTGAGATTTTAAGTCACAGGGAGAGAGAAGAGAACCTATCGGCGATGTAATTGAGGAGACCATCAGTACCGAAATACCATATATCGATCTCAACCAGGCCTCCCTGGCTACGATCAACAGCGTGACGACACATGATATCGAGGTTGAATTCCATGTCTTCCAAATCTCCGAGGTTATGCATGTCGATTTTACGCCACATCGATGGGTCTTTACAAACGCGGCGCCACGATCTGCAAACTTTCTGAGCGTTTTCAAGTATCTCAATCGCGCCAAGACGGTGCAGTATCAATGACGTCAGTTCCGGTGGAAGCTCCGTCCAATTTCTAGATTCTCCGACCTCCATCGCCGGAGGTAAAGACGAAGAAGCCATTTTTAAGTATCGAATTTGTCAGAAACCACTAAATAAAGAGAGTGAAGTCGTTTTCAAGAATTTTCAATTAGGTCCTTATGGTATCACATAATTACGAAATAAATTTGGGCCAAGCTTACTTTAATCTTGGGCCTAGGCCTATAATTAAATTATACCCACAGCAAAAAAAGCCCCATCGCATTGTTCTTGGAGTAGCAATCACGCACTCAAAGCATTTTTTTGAAGTTCAAAAGGACACTGAGACATAGAGAAAAGAAATGTCATAAACGAGTTCATAAGTTGACAAGACCAAAAAAGCAACATGTTTTCTTCATTGTTCCGAAAGATTCAATATCTACTACCAATAATAGTCGCTGGCATCATAGCGGACATCAACTGTAATTCTACCATATGGGTGACCAGCGGTTGAGTCAGTAGGGCGTTTCAAATCTTTGATCCTCTCAACGCATCGCTTCTCTAGATCCCCAGTAAGATCAACGTTGGAACATTTGCGTAGATCAAGGTGCTCAAGGTGAGGACAACCGTCAAGAATGGCGTTCAATCCCACATTGGTTAGTATGTTCCCAAACAGCTGGAGGTGGCGTAGCTCTGGCATGCTTTCTGCGATTGCTAGAGCTTCTTCATTATTAAACTCATCATCATTAAATTTAGGGTCAGGCTCGGAGTTTAGCTTCAATGTCTTCAGATTTGGACAAGACTGGCCTACAACTTTCAGAGACTCTCCTGACAAGGAGCAGTGTGAAAGCTCGAGGTATTCAATCAATGGAAGCTTCACAACTGCTTCGATAAATCCCTCGTCTGCTATTGGATAGCACATTATAAGTCTAAGGGTTCTCAGATTACTCGACCTGCAAATAATTGTTGGTAAAAGGTTAAAAGCATAATCCAAGATAGAGAAGAAAGACAACAAAGATGCAAAAGATCTTTATTTATAGCACACGGAGTACCTGAAGCCAATCATTTAGACCTCAGAAACATAACAATGTTAGAATCAAGTGGATATTTTCTACTCCAAAATGGAAGAGCAAGGGATTAACAGTCACAAACCTGAATTGAGAACTGATTTAACAAATTGATTTCTAGTTGAAAAGATCGACACAATAATTCTAGAAACACATCATAAAATAACAATAATTTCCCAATTCTCACAAGTAAAAAGAACAGAAGGTATTCCCACTCACTGAAACTACTAAGATCTTTCACATCTAACCTTCAAATTGACATACCCTATTCAACGAGTGAAATCAAATTTCTCTTAAGGAGATCAAAATTTCCCTTAAGAAAACAAACATAGGCGTGGTTTTGAGTCATATGAATAGAGAGAGAGAGAGAGAGAGATAGAACCTGTCGGCAATGTAATTGAGGAGCTCATCAGTACCAAAGTACCAAATGTCAATCTCAACCAAGCCGCCCTGGCTACGATCCACTGCATGACGACACATGATCTCAAGATCGTACCCCATGGCTCCCAAGTCTCCGAGGTTGTCCATGTCAATCTTCCGCCACATCGAGGGGTCTTTACAAACGCGACGCCACGATCTGCACACTTTTTGAGCATTTTCCAGTATATCAATCGTGCCAAGCCGGCCAAGGATCGACGATGTCAGTTCCGGTGGAAGTTCTGCCCAATTTCTCACCTCTTCATCTTTCACCAGCGAAGAAACGGAAGTAGACGTCGACGACCAAGAGGAGGAAGCAGTTTCTGAGGATCAAAAATGTCAAAATAAATAAGATCTTTCGGTTCCGTCTTTAATTTAAAATCGACAAACATAGAGAAAAAGAAGACACGGACGAGTTCATAAGTCACAACCACTTGCCACTGAACTTGACAAGCACAGCAAAGACAACCTGTCTCTGCATTGTTAAGAAAAAATCAATATCTACTCCCAACGATAGTCCCTGATACCTGAGTCATAGCCGCCCATAATGTCATATCCGCCCATCATGTCGTAGCTGCCCATAATGTCATACCCGCCCATCATGTCGTAGCTGCCCATAATGTCATAGCCGCCCATCATGTCATAGCCACCATACATATAGGGAAAGCCATCATCTGAATCGATATCAAGAAAGCTGGTTTCGGTTGAGCAATCAGCGATTGAGTCATTGGGGCATCTCAAATATTTGATCCTTTCAACACATTGCTTCATGAAATCTTCGACAAGGTTAATATTGTAACACTGGCGTAAATCAAGATGGTCCAGGTGAGTACAACTGTCAAGAATGGCGTTCAAGCCAGTGTTAGTTAGTGCGTTCCCTAAAAGCTGAAGGTGGCGTAACTCAGGCATGCTTTCTGCAATTGCTATGGCATTATGATCACGCATATTTATTACAAACTCGACGCGAGGTCGGCGGTTTAGCTTCAATGTCGTCAGATGTGGACAAGACTGGCCTACAACACTCAGACACTCTCCTGAAAATGAGCAGTATGAAACCTCGAGGTCTTCAAGCAATGGAAGTTTCACAACTGCTTCGGCAACTCCCTTATCTGTTATTTGATGGCATCTTACAAGTCTAAGGCTTCTCAGGTTACTAGAACTGCAAATAATTGTGAGTAAAAGTTAGAAAAATAATCTAAGATAGAGAAGAAGAAAGACAAAGATGCAAAAGATCTTTCATTTATAGCACATGAAGAACCAGAAGCCAAAGATTTAGACCTCCAAAGCAGAAAAATATGAGAATCAAGTGGATATTTTCTACTTCAAATCCAAAGAACAAAAGGAATAACATTCACAAACGTGAAAAGGACAATGTCGAAGAAACCAAAACATTTAACCCTATTACGAACACTAAATTAACAAAACAATGATTCAAGATATTACCAAGCAACTCAAATGTCAAAAAGTGCATTCATCAGAGACTCAGTATAAAGAAAGAGTGACACAGAATCCTCCAAACACAATCATAAGTTAACAAAAATTTCCCCAATTCTCAAAATCTGTTCTAAACCCTAGAACTAGCATAACCCCTATACAACGACTGAAATCAAATCAACATCAGTGCTCTAATAAAAATTCGAAAATTCCTCTTGAAGAAAACCATAATTCGAGAGATTTTGAGTTACATGGAGAAGAGAGAGAGAGAGAACCTATCGGCGATGTAATCGAGGAGTTTATCAGTACCAAAGTACTCAATGTCAATCTCAAGCAAACCGCCCTGGCTACGATCAACGGCGTGACGGCACATGGAATCGAGGTCGTACTTGAAGATATCCCTATTTCCACTGTTGTCTATGACAATCTTCCGCCACATCGAAGGATCTTTACAGACGCGACGCCACGATCTGCACACTTTCTGAGCATTTTCGAGTATCTCAACCACGCCAAGTCGGAGAAGGATCGATGACGTCAGTTCTGCTGGAAGCTCAGCCCAGTTTCTATAATCTCCGTCCTCCATCGCCGGAGGTAAAGACAAGAAGACGGTGGCGAAGGAGAAACAAATGAAAACGGCTACAGAGAAGAAGAAGAAAGTAACTGTGGTTTCAAAATTTTTGTTTCCGTTGCTAAATTACAATTAGGTCCTCATAGTGATACATATTTACGATATTAGTTCGGGCCATAAAGTACAATAATAAAAATAATGTTTTGGGCTAGGCCCATAATTAAACCCAATCGATCATCATTATTCATAATAAAACAAATCACACGCTAAAAGCTTAAACGAAATAAAAACTTTGAAACTATAACATAGAGAAAACTAAAGAGTTCATACTTCATAATTTGAAATGACAATCAAAAGCAACCTGTGTTTAGAGAGATTCACTAATTAAGGTCATAGTAAAATCTCAATGTTGTCCAAGTCATTGAAAAAAGTGATAGCAAATGGGTGATCAAAGGTTGACTCATTTATTGGTGTGTCTAAAATATTTGATCCTCTCATAACATCGCTTCTCCAGATCTCCGACAAGTTTAAGCTTGAAACACTTATGTAACTCGAGGTGTTCCAGGTGAGGACAACCGTTAAGAATGGCGTTCAAGCCTATGTCACTTAGTTTGTTCCCATAAAGGTAGAGGTGGCGTAGTTCTGGCATGCTTTCAGCGATTTCTAGGGCATAATAATCATCATTGCGAGAGTTGCGAAAGTTGCGAGAGCTCCAGAAACGCCCTGAGGAGTTTAACTTGAATGTCTTTAGCTGTGGGCAAGCCTGACCTATAGCTTTGAAATCCAGAATTAAACATGAGTGTGAGACCTCGAGGGTTTCAAGCAATGGAAGTTTTGTGATTGTGTCCACAAGTCCTGGGTTCGTCGCCCTTGGAAAGCACATTCCAAGTCCAAGACTTCTCAGATTCCTTGATCTGCAAATAGTAAATAAGAAGAGAAAACCATTTGTTCAATTGGGACCTAAAAGTTCAAACTCTAATGATATGATAAGAGTGGTACAAGCTTATAATCTTCTTATAATGCTAATAAGTAATAACTACCTAACCACTTTTTTTTTTTTTTTTTGGTAAATGGTTAAGTTAGTACCTAATAACTACCTGTTTCATTAACCATGTCAAAGGACAAGTAATTAAGTATGATGACGGTAACGGTGTGAAACAAAAACAAGACTCGATCGAGCAATGTGAGAACTAAAAGGATTATTATAACAGCGTCATATAAAGTCACTTCAAATAAAACTTTTTGACTTGTAAAACATTATAAAGGCATCAACATTGTTATCCTGTGATAGGATTCCCTAAGGTAGAGTATATTAAAAGAAAACTTTAAGTTGCAAGACATAAATTCTCGAGTAAGAGTAATTGAATATCCAAAGTTCATTCATAGCAGATCCAGTATTAAGAAAAAAAAAGAAAAAAAAGACAAGAGTAGAGTTTCAATTAAATCGTGATAAACAAAAAAATATAAATCAACGAACGATATTATTATTGCCCTAATCCTCACGAGAAAAAGGAACAAACAAACTTCAGATATTATTTTCTCACTCAAAATATATACCGACACATATTTTGTGTCTAAAGCCATCAATTTCTCTAAATAAAACAGCATTTGGAGATTCCCATGAAACAACTCAAACGTAGAGTGCGTACGAGTGGTAACTAAGAGATAGAGAGAAGATAGGTAACCTATCTGCGATGTAGTCGAGGAGATCATCACTGGCGAAGCTCCCAACGTGGATTTCGACCAAACCACCCTGGCTGCGATCAACGGCGTGACGGCACATGCTAGCTAAGCGGTCGAGCATTCTCTCGTTTCTGATCCGGCTTCTCATGTCGATTTTCTGCCACATCGAAGGGTCTTTACATACGCATCGCCACTGCCTGCACACCTTCTGAGCGTTGTCCAGTATATCAATTCCGCTAAGACGGATCAGGATCAAATACGTCAACTCCGACGGAAGATCCGCCCAGTTTCTTGCCTCTTCGTCTTTCATCTGCGACGTAGAGGAGGTTCTCCTTTTCTTTTTTGAAACAGCGGAGATCGTCATTTTTGAGGATAAAATTAGGTCAAAAAATCAGTCAATAAGAAGTGAAGTGTAGTTTCGGACCTTACGGCTTCCGTCTTTAAATAAGTCAAAAATTTGGCCGTCGTAGTATACGATACAATTCATGCCACGTATAATTAGGGCAACTACACCCACGCGCTAATGTTTGCTTGATTTTTAGCAAATACACGCGCTCACACCACTGATATTGTCATGACCAAATCTTGAACTCGTTTCTATTTAAGTACAAAAATAATTCGGTTTGATTTTTGTTTTGTTTTAAAGATTTTATACCAAATAAAAGTTACATTGTAATCTAGAAAGAACAAATTCAAACTTACCCAATAAAATTTAAATTTAAATTAAACAAATTCGGTTTGATTTTGTTAATGTTTTATTATTAGTCGTTGTTGCTTACTGTTTATATATGTTAAATTTGATAGAATTAAATAATGGATAAATCATAAATGTGGTTAGTTAGATGAATAAATAGTTAAAGGTGAATGAATAAAATATGTAATAGATGTTAATATTGCATTTTGATTTCAAAACGCATCCTGTGAAGTCAACACGCGCTCAAACAAGTTCAAAATAACTTCAAAAGAATATTTTTACATAGTTGATAATATTGATCAGTTATCAACTTACAAGCATATAACAATTTAACAACTTAGGAATCAAGTGATATATATGAACAATTAATATATTGTTTAAATTGGGTTAACTAGTACATATGAGACATAAGATCATCTCTATTCATGAGAAACCCAAAGTGTCTCTCAAACCAAATTAATATTTATAATTTAGTTATATAATTAAATTTGAGTTGTAAAAATAAAATTGAACCAATGTACAAGAGACAAGTGTCTAAAGTTTCTAAGAGTTCTACAAGTGGAGATGACAGTGACAAAGTAAGTGTGGTGAGAGTGACTGTTAAACAAAACAAGACTTGTCTATGTGAGAACAAGCAAAGGGACTAGTTATTGCAACATGGCTTCAAAAACGTTTCATCAGTTTCAAGTTTTCAAGAATTTTGTATAATTCGGTCCCTCTCTTCAAATCAAGAGACTGATGAATACAAGAACACATAGACTTTTGACTACCTATTTGGTTTTTTTTTCACACATATATATACATGTACACTACACGGGAATCAAAAATCAAAAAATGAAAACATTAGGTACAACTCAAATTGATAAGTTGAGATCTTACAAGGGAGTGGAGGTACTAAAATGGATGAAGAATCGAATATCGATACACACAATGAATAGCTACTCACCTGATTTATCACTGAGGTGGTGGTATTTGGATTAACAGTCAAAACACAAATACTCTGTATTGTCCTTTTCATGATCATCTCATACTCCTTTTCTACTTCTCCTATCATCTTATACTCCTTTTCTACTTTTCCTATTAATCAAACGAATAGCTAGAAGAAAATGAGAGAATAGTTGTGTTCATTTAGTTAAAAATGTATTTTGGTCAAAATAATATACTATTTGGCTAATCCATGAGAACTCATTTTGATTTTGTCCAAAAGTCAGAAGAAACACTTTAAAAAGTGTGTTTTGTGAAAACATTTTCTTAAGAAACAATTTCTGCATCGTACGCGAGTTACAATCACGCACTACAAACTTAAAATGTACAAAGAAAATAAGGGACTTTGAAACACTACCAAACCAACATAGAGAAAAGAGGACTAGAGGAGACATGAACAAGTTCATAATGTGACATACTGACATGACCATAAAAAGCAACTTGTGTTCAAAGAGATATATAATATCTAGTCCCGATAAAAGTCATAGTAAACCTCAATGTTGTCCAAGTCATTGACAAAAGTGATATCAAATGGGTGATCAAAGGTTGAGTCATGATTTGATGTGTCTAAAGTATTTGATCCTCTCAAAACATCTTCCAAATCTCCGACAAGTTTAAGCTGGAAGCACGTTTGTAAACACTCGTTCCAGGTGAGGACAACCATCAAGAATGGCATACAAGCGTGTGTCACTTAGGTTGTTCCCATAAAGGTGGAGGTGGCGTAGTTCTGGCATGCTTTCAGCGATTTCTAGGGCATAATCATCATCATTGCGAGAGTTCTAGAAACCCCTGAGGAGTTTAACTTCAATGTCTTTAGTTGTGGGAAAGCGTGGCCTATATCTTCCAAACTCAGTTTTAAACATGAGTGTGAGACCTCGAGGGTTTCAAGCAATGGAATTTTTGAGATTGCGTTCACAAGTCCTGGCCTCGTCACCCTTGGAAAGCACATTGCAAGTCCAAGACTTCTCAGATTCCTTGATCTACAAATATATAATCGCGCGTGTGTCGAATTACATCATAAACGATACGAAGAAGAATAATAAAAAAAAAGAACATAAGAAATTTTCATAGTACTAATCAACTCAGAAGCATGTAAATAAGAAGAGCACAGAAGAGCAAACCATTTGTTTCAATTGGGACCTAAAAGATCAAACTCTAAAGATGCATTAAGCAAGTCTATGATAAGAATTGTATAAGTTCTTAATCTTCTTATAATGCTAATAACCTAACTACCTGTTTTCATTATTAACCATGACAAAGGAGAAGTAATTATGTATGATATGACAGTAACGATGTGAAACAAATCAAGACTCGATCGAACAATGTGAGAACTAAGGACTATTATAACATCATCATATCAACAGTGACTTCAAAATAAAACGGATTTTTTTTTTACTCCTAAAATATTATAAAGGCATGAACATTGCACTACAAGAAATATGAGCATTCGTAGCAGTCATTTGTAGCGCTAATTTACGAACTGCTACTAAAAGTATCAAAATCGGATTGCAAGTATTTCGCAGCACTATATTAACGCTAGGATATAGTTTTCATTAAGCGGGAACTTAACTCAGTATTATAGCGGGGAAAGGTATAATTTTGGAGGTAAAAAAATTGGGTTTTCCCACCCCAACCAAAAAAGTCTCGCTTTCTCAATAGTAAAAGACTAAAAGTCTTGTCTTTTAACACTTAGCTCAAAAAACAAAACAAAAAAAGCTTTCTCCAAAATTTCAGATTCAATCTCAAATTGTTTGATTCCATTGTGAAATCTGAATACCCATTGCATGAACTCTCAGAGCACAGCATCTCTAAAACGTTATCATAGGGTTAGGCGGTATAATTTTTCCCAATTGGCGCTACACTTAGAATTTTTTTTGGGGGTTTTCCTCTTTGCCTCTTCTTTCTTCGATTTTACCTTAGAAACAATTTTGGGGTTTTCCCTTTTGCCTCCTCTTTGATCAAACCCTAAGCTCAGAACTCTTTGCTCGCTCCTCTTTGCTCTCTAGTTCCAACACAAATCTCAGAAAGAACCCTAATCTGACATCTCTTTGCTCGCCCATTTTCCTTCTATGCGACCCAATCGAGCTCCTCTTCCTTATCTTTGCTTGCTCCTCCTCCTTGTCTCTTGTTTGCGACCCAATCGAGCTTCTCTTTTGTAGTTTAATTTAAGCAAAAATTTCAACCTAATCGAGCTTCTCTGTTTGTGAATCCCACTAAATCGAAGGTAAATCCCACTTAATCACAAATTGTTCTTGATTTGTAGAGATATCTGAGAGAGAGAGAGCTGTGAGATGACGACTGTTAACGTTAATGGCGTTTGGGTTTGGTCGATTTAGGGATTTGAGGATTTAGAATTTGGGGATTTAGGAATTTGAGGATTTAGTTTAAGTGAAATTTGAGTTTTGCTCGTTTGCTCTGATTTTCTCTCTTCTGAAACTGTTTGCTTCTCTTGTATTTTCTAGATTTGAACTGATTCTTCATTGTTTTGTAACTTGTCTTATCGATTAGTAATGGAACATTTTGCTCTCCAAGATTGTACTATGATCGATATACATTGTTTTGTAACTTGTTTTATCTACATGTTCTTTGAACACTATACTGACATTTTATTTTTGAGCTGCTTTGTATTTCTTTCAATCAATACTATGAAGTTGTTAACTGAGTTATGATGAAACAACCTTGTTATGTTTAAACGAGTCCTAACAATTTGAAACTAGCTCTGGATTTTTGTCTGCGTTTTGTGGTGTTTTTGTTGTGTTTTTGTCTGCGTTTAGATTCTGTATGAAGCTAATTTGGTTTCCTAGCTAGCTTTTGTGAGTATAATCTTTTGTATAAAAAAGAATTGGATCGAATTGACTCAGTTTTGTTTGATTGTTGTTTAGAAGTCAAAGACTCTAGCAAATCTAGTAAATAATGCTAGAGAATCGGCTTTATATAAGTTTTTATTTACTGTCTTGATTGTGTGATGCATAGATTTGGAAAAGTTTGTAATTGTAAAGAACATAAAAATCAATTTGTGTGTCTCTAGTTTTCTAAGCTTATTGCGATTTTTCCTTATGCTCTCTGGTCATTACCAGTTGCTGATGATATTTTGTTGACTTGTAATTGTGAATTGTAGTTGGATTTGCGGATCTGTATTTGCGGCTCTGTAGCTGTTCAATACAAGAACTACAAGGTATTTACGGCTTTGTAGCTGTTCAATTAAAGATGAGTTGTGTTGTAATGATTCTGATAATCCATGTCGTCTTTTTGTTTGCAGGATCTTGATTCCTAATCTTCAAACTTCTTGTCCGTTCCTACCTTGTTCTTTTACTTGTGTAAGATGATATTTCTTTACCTTTTTGTTATACATTTGGTTTATGATGTGAGTGTCTGATCATTAAAGTTATTATGATAATGTATGTATAAATTGGTGGGGAGATTGGGTCGTATTGGTCTAATATGGACAAAGCATGGGCTTGGCTTCCAAGGTATGCATCTCTCTGATATTTTCATAGATGGTTTCATTTATAGTGATTCTGAACTTAGTTTTTTTTTCTTAAATTATTATCTTAGGAATAGTCTTGAGTATGAGGCTGGAGCAAAGAATTTTGTGTATGGAGCATCAAGTAGTATGGGTAATCCTGCAGAGATTCTCTGTCCATGTGTCGATTGTCATAATGTTTGCCATTGGCTGATAGATACTGTAGTGGATCATCTTGTGATGAGAGGTATGGATTTGAAGTACAAAAGGAATCCATGTTGGTTTAATCATGGGGAGAGGAGAGAGACAGTCCATAACAGACCCTTAGGACCAAATGCTTGCAAGGTCTGGGTTGATGTTTCAATGATTGACAATGCTAAAGTGTGGAGGCCAAATTCAGAAGTGCAATTCAT